TGGTGCCCCGTATCCTTGATCATATTGCTATCATGGTAGTAATTTTCCACTGCCCTCTTCCAGCCACTTTATGTAAATTATTTAGAATCGTGTGGATTCATCCATCTGTTTAAAGTACTGTCACCAGCGGTGCTTTCACTATTACAGAGCCTCTGGACATCCACAGCTTAATTCATAATACTGCTTTTGAAAAAGACAGTAATCAATTTGAGATGTTTCCTTCATGAAACAAGGCCACATAGGATCTAGTTCTCTCAATCCAAAGGAGACTTCTGTTGTTGTAGGGATTTTAGCCACCCAACTTAGATATATGGAGTTAGGGATAGTTCACTCCCAACAGTGCAATTATTTAAAGCATTGGATTAATTTGAACGTAACAAAAACACTGGGTGCTTCTACAGACAGTAACACGGGTAGATGTTGCTATATTCTTTGAAGAATAGGAATGGACAGGATGGAGGGGGGTAGTGAGGAAATGTGCATGGGTTCATTAATGAACATCATTGATTGTTAAGACAGGAACTACAAGGGATCAAAGTCACTGATACTCTTTGCCTTCATGTCCCCCCGCCCCCGAAATTAGTGGCAAATTCTGATTGTCTTTCCTGTGCAGCTTATTAACGCTGGAAACTGTACCTGAGATGAACTGCTAGAGCCCCACAATATCGGTAGGCTTTCCTTTATCCCCATAATACCTCCTAGATTTGTTTAATTTAGTAACAGTTTCCCATCACTAGTTGGTCACTGAGTTAAGTACTCAGGACTTCAAAAGCTTTAATAATATCAAAAATGCACTTGTGATATGAAAGAAACATTGGTTAATTATTTTATAATTAGCATTACATAGTTGCCATTCAGCCATTTTATTTTACTGAATAGTATTTTCCAGTTTTTTTTTTTTTTTTAATGGTGGCAGATTCAGGATCTCTTTATTCTAGCAGCAAAGAAATAAAAGCATACCCACCCCTATTATTTTTTTTCCTCCTAGAAATAGGAAAGATTCCCCACATGAGGTTTTATCTATGCACAACAAATAAACGTAAAACAATGCGTATACCGTGGGAGAGTTTGTATTTAATCTCCTCACTAGCTACTATTCTGTCATGCACCAGCTTTAAAAAAAAAAAAAAAAAAAGGTAAAATTAACTTGCAAAATTAATTTCTAAATTTAATAAACTTTTTATTAGAAAATGTTTAGCAACTTGCTAAACTTGCTAGATAAAACTTATTACAAATTATATGTTAGGTTTAATGAGACATTGCCTTCTGTGCTTAAAAGGATGAATTTCATAGTTATAAAGAAAGACTTGTACACTCTGTCTCTGTATCTCCCCTCCTCAAAGAATGTACCAGAAGTAAATGGGACCTGCTCCAGTTCTCACTGTAGGAACTGAGAAGTGCTCTATGTTCTGTAAAAACTAGGAGGACGACTATTCCAGTGCCCCCTGGGTTTTCCAGATTTGGGCACTGATAGTCCCAAGTACCCAAAAACACTCAGCCCTGGGCACATAAGGATAGTTGGTTGCCCTAATTCAGGTGCCTTTCGTAGGAAACTTTGTGATGCTCTGTGGATGGAGAACCAGACAGATTGTTGTTAAGTACTTAAATTTTTTAAAAAGATATTGCCAATTTTCTTCATGTCCATTCAGTTCAGCATCAGTCTTTTGCTTTCTCTCGTCCCTGTCATCTAGTTCTCTGAACTGCTGGGTGAGCTGGAGGCCTGGGTTTCACTCTTCTTATTTATAAAGCTTTAGTATTTCATTTTCCTGAATGAGCTTATCCAGAAAAGGGACCTACTGTGCCTGGTTTTCCAATGGTTTTGACTCCTGTGTTCACTATGTATTTACTTTAGCAGCCACATTATTTCTGCCCACTTCAGCTAAAGAAAATATCCCATCACAGTATAGCAGAGGCGTTTGCCGTGGTAGAGCTTTGAAAACAGCTTAGTGGTACCCTATCTCTGGCACTCACCAAGGGCATGGTGTCATTGAGTGTGTCCCTCTTCACTGCCTGTGACTGTCCCATTACTCACACCCTCTTCTGCTGATCAGATAACTCTCTGAGTCCGTATCCCATGCTGGAGGCCTCACGTATTGCACAGTAAGGATCTAATTAGACTTGAACCATTACATTTTTGAAAAATTGGCAAAGCCAGTTTGCATAATTCATGGGGCTGCTTCTCTGAATTTCATGTATAATATTTTTAAAAATTTATGCCCTTATACTCACTTTCTAACACTCTGGTCTAATCAGCTGTGTTATTTCCTCAACAGTTGAAAAGAAAAATTGTCACAGATATACAGGCTGTGAAATTCTTCTTAGTTGAAAATAAGCCGCATATGTCAGTATTCATTCAGAAGCTGAAATTTGCTTTCCTCTGTGCTTTTGAAAGCATGAAAGCAGTTTCAAATCATCTTCCATCATATAACTGTCTTTTTTAGCAGGTGCAAAAGCATCGTTTCCTAGAAATGATTGAGGCTTGAGCAAACAGCCGTGTGCTGATGGATACAAATTCTGTCCATTGGCAAAGAGGAGTACTTTGTTAAAATTACTTGTAATAAACTGTATGCTTAATTGTATCTGCAGCATGACGGTATAGCTGTAGCGTGTGGAACAGCCAAGTGGATATAAACCTTATTCAAATAATACTTTTTTGTGGGGGCTGCTTGCCTGGTCTTGCCCTCTCTGGGCTTTGTTGTCCTGTGACAGTCAGGACCCTCAGTCCAGGTGTCCTTGGAGGTTCTTTAACTTGAGACTCTATGAAAGGAAAAAAATTGAGTTTTTGAGACCACACCTTGTTGAGAACCCACATTATAGAATGAGACCTATGAGGGTGAATTAGACAGTTAACATAAATGAAATTATGTAAACAGCAGCCTCCAAATCACACACAGTTTAGAAACTGTGAACCGTGTTAGCCTGGACTGGCTGACAGAGTGGGCCTTTGTTCCAGTGCTGCCCAGTTTCAACTTTCTTCTCCCTGTGTCATCTGTCTGAGTCTGTGCAACATTCTCTGGGGTAAGCCTGTTCTCGTCCCACTCAAGTCAGTGCTGCAAAGCTGTCAGAGAATGCAAGTTCATATCAGAGCAGTATGAATAATTCTCAGATTCGACATTTGATGGGTTACTTTAAGGTGGGGAAAGGACTTTTGATTGCAAAAGGCAGAAATGTCTGTGACTTACTTTAGTGGAACAGGGGATTTATTATAAGGGTATATGTTGCCTGACTCTGTAGGAACGAGCTGTTTTTCCATTCTCTCATGGGCCACATGGTCTCTTTCTTCCGTTGCTTCTTCTGTTTTATTCTCTTCCCTCTACAGATAGAATTCTTTGATTTACTCATAATTTTCCCTCCCTTATTAAAGTCCAACTCTCACATGTGTCTCTGGGCCTCCTTCTAGATTCAGAATTGGAAGCTGCAGCTGAGAACATTAACTGTCTCTAGATTGCTCTGAATTAAAGTCCCAGTGTGACTTGGGGTATTAAGGAGTTTATTACGTGTCTTTCCCACTAGAAGAGGGGAGCTTCTTAAGCAAAGGGATGATGTCTGTTTTCTTTTCTGTACACTTACAATACCTAGCACAAAATAGGTCCTGAGTACATATTTGATGAATAAATAAAACATACGAAACAACACCTGTAGTCTACTAATAAGGGGAAAGCCTCTGCATGAGTTGAACTGGCTGAGTCTTCTCAAACAGCAGTCGGTTTGGACTGAAGTCACCTTATTCTTTGCCCAGTTGCGAAACATTTCTCACTGCACCAATGACTTGCAAACTGCTTTGCATATTAGGGTCCAAATATGCAGTAGAGATCAATGTGATGAAAACGCTCCAGCGTAAATGTTGGGGAAAAGATTGTTTCCATGGGGACTTCTGCTTAAGGGAAGCCTCACATTGATGCAGGTGAGTCGGCTGACCTACCACCAACTCATAGTCGTCCAGTTTCCGTGAACCTACAATCTAGCTGCAGTATCAGTGCTGGTGGCAGTAACCCTGTATTTGATTCGTTAGTGAAAGGTTCTTATCTTGGCAAAATGAGTTTGTGAAAGCAGGTAGGTAGTGGTGGAGATTTTGCGAGAGGGCAGGTGTGAATGCAGCGGTCGAAAGCTGGGGATGTGCTTTCACTAGCTATGGAATGGCTTTTCTCTCTGTGAGGTGCCACGGCTTTCTGACTGTCTTTCCAGGGAATCTGCATCCTGGGTAAATCCTGTCGGTGTTCCCAGCCACACTGCAGGGTCACTGAAGTGCCACTTTGCCCCTCTGGGGTAGAACACATCCTTTTTACAGGCCAGATGTTGAACAAAGTCCTTCCTGACAGAAACATGGATACCAGATACTTCCTGTGTGTCACCCCATCCTTCCCACAATTAAATACTCCTGGTCCTTGTTCTTTTTTAACCATTTCACACAATGATCTTTTGGTAGCAGAAATCACTGTAATGTGCATTTCTATTATTAATCCTAAACCTTCTTTCCATGTTGCTTTATCATGAGACAGATAACATTTTCACAAACATCCTGAAAAGTGCCTTAGGAAATGTTATTCCCTTCAACATAGATATTTTGGGGGGGGAGAAATGTTTATTCCCATGATATGGTCATTGCCCAGAATATTTTGAGAACGCCTCTTTCAATGCCATTAATATTCTGAAGTAAGTACAATTGAGTTCTATAGGAATGTATGGATAAATATAAATATGTTTTTGCTGTCTTCTACATATAACACTTGTACACTCACGTCATCTTTTTTCTTCTAAATAGTGAAAGATCTAAATATTTCATGAGCACTCTCATTTTCGTGACCATGTCCAAATTTGCACTTGGTTAACTGTATAGCTCCTCACTGGACTTTAACTTTAGAAATTGCCAGCATGGCCTCTCCAATGTGATATTTGCTAGTAGATGTTAGGGGTGCTATTATCTGCATTAAGTGGAATTTTAGGTTTCATTGCTTAAAACGTGAAGTATAAGTAAAACGGATTTGTCTTGTCACCCGCAGGAAATGTTTGATGTTATATTGGATGAAAATCAGCTGGAGGATGCGTGTGAACATCTGGGAGAGTACCTTGAAGCATACTGGCGTGCTACCCACACAACCAGTAGCACCCCCATGACCCCTCTGCTCGGAAGGAATTTGGGCTCAACCGCACTGTCACCATACCCCACAGCAATTTCTGGGTTACAGGTATTGCCACTTTCCACTCATGCTTTTACAGTCTTACAACTGAAGATTCTACAGAGAACTTAATGGGGATGAAGAGTGGGATTATCCTTAATCTGAAGAGGAAAACATATGTGGGTGTTATCTTTAAAAAAAAAAAAACAAAATATTACCTCACTGTGATCTACCCTAGGCCTAAGTTCCCCCCAGTGGCCCTTTCCATAGAACTTTGCTCTGAGTTAATGTGTAATGACTTTTGCTTAGACAAACTAATCCCTCCCGTGTCTAAACCCTTCCAGAACACTTACTACTTACTCAGTGCAACTGTCCAATACTTCTCCAGGTCCCTTCTTAAAGATTATACACTGGTGGCAACGTAAGGCACCATGGCAAGCTAAGTAAGTTATTTGGGGACATATGGACCTTTTGACTTCCCTTAACTAATCCTGCCCCATAGGGCCTGTCCCTTAGCTTCCTCAACACAGAATGTGCACACAAGTAGAGTCACTCTGTTTGGAAACAGTGACGGATCCCTGCGTTTTCTTGGGGTGGGGGGAGTGTGGGGGCCCATGTTGGTCAGCGGCTATGGTAGGTCTCCTTTAGGAAAGCTGGGGACAAGTTCAAGGACCGGAGGTTTTCTCTTCTGCTATTCTAGTGTTGCACTCAGGGCTAGATGTCAGGAGCCAGAGGCATTATGATACAAAGTGAATTTTGCCTTTTGACATCAATAATTATTTACCATTTATCGAGAGTCTGCTGGAATGGAGCCCAACCCACAGGTGGCTGAGGTACATCTAGTCAATTGAGCCTCTTGTATCATGACTAGCTTTATATTAAAGAGTTATAATGATAATCGTAATTATAGATCATGTAAAGTTAAGCCTGAGAGGAAGGGCACTCTCTGAAATACTGTGTCATAACTGTATTACTCTCCTACAAAATTTCATCTTTATAAGCAAAAAACTGCCCTATAAAGGAGCAGCTTTTGAGGCTGGAAATGAACATGGGAAATGTGCTAGGGTAATACACATATATATGTATGCACCAGGACTGTTTCTTGCCTGGTTTCGCTGCCTGTGTGCTAATCCAAGTGTGGCATATCCACTGACTAGTTTGGGTTGGCTCCAAATTGTATACTATGGGAGAGAAATGGATGCATGAAGCAATATGCTTCTGTAATGCAGGTAGAAGCGAAATGCACTTTATTTATGAATATAACACTCTGGATTCATCACCTCTAAGGCATCCGCCTAGAGTGGTTCTCCCAATTTCACTTGAGTTAATGTGGTGCCCTTTGTCCTGGAGCCTATTTCTCTTAGTGACCATGAGTATTTAATTGTTAGCCTCCTGGCTGGGGCGAAAGACACAGGCTCTAATTATTGAATGATTTTCCCACTGGGTGAAGGTGAGTGTCCCTTTAGAGGAAATGTATCTCGGTCCTTGGTTTCATCAGGATTCTGTTTCTTAATGGAGGTGACCTACCTAAGTAGAGAGCCACAGCTATGATACGTGTTTTCCCATGATTTAAAGAAAAATGTTGAATAACATTTTCTGAGCCATCAAATAAGTATCTGAAGATATTAATTTCAATAAATGGTATTAGAGGAATTTAGTTGATATCTGAAGATAATTTTTGCAGGACATTTCAGTTGAGGAAGCAAGAATTGCAAATATCAATTAGCCAGCTCCATAATTATTATACACTCCTTTGGAAAGAATACTGCTGAGAGCCTTAATGTTTATGTGTGATGAAGAAACAAACACATTATTTTATGGGCAGCACAAATCATAATTTCATGAAAATATTTTATAGGGCATAAGGGACATTCAGCTAGATAAAGGTGAAGTGTGTGACTTTAGGAGGAGAAAGATTTTACCAGTTAAAGAGAGAAATAAAATAGCAGATGCTATTCTGAACTTTAACTTATTTCCCAAGAGTAAAATAATCCTCAGTTTTGCAGTAGAAGTGGAGTTATTAGGTATTCCTAGATATATTAAGTTCCATTCAGCAATTAACTTTCAATTCTCTATTTTTAATAGGCAGCCTAATCACCTAGCATTATGTAATTAAATTCATAAACTATCAGCATTTTAGTATCTTTGCAACGTTGTGTCCTGAATGGAATAGACCAGATCTTTTGAGCAGACCATTTGTGCATCAAAATGTTTTATTAAGTCTGATAGTTAGCGTTTTATTGTACATATCCTACTGTTGTACGTATATTTAAATGTGCTAGATGAATGAGGCTGACATGATTTAACCATTGAACTATCTGATATTTATAGAGTCAGCGTATGAGGCACAGCAACCACTCCACAGAGAACTCTCCAATTGAAAGACGAAGTCTAATGACCTCTGATGAAAATTATCACAATGAAAGGGCTCGGAAGACGGAAGAGTAGGAACCGCTTGTCTTCCAGTTCCCAGCATAGCCGAGATCATTACCCTCTTGTGGAAGAAGATTACCCTGACTCATACCAGGACACTTACAAACCCCATAGGAACCGAGGATCGCCTGGGGGATATAGCCATGACTCCCGACATAGGCTTTGAGTCTGCAGAAGCAAACAAAAAATTCATCTGTTGACAATTTGCCATAGCACTGCTAGGATAAACCAATCATCTTAACTTGGCAAGTACAGCACAGTGTTTCCTGTGCTTGTGGGCTGCTGTCATTTGATGCTAGGTAAGGGGCAAAAAAAAAAAAAAAAAAACC